CTTTTTTTTTTTTTTTACAGGGGGGGTGGGAGGGGGTGAAGATCTTCTAGAATCTTCTAGAATCCTCACTCCCCTCCATCTCTCTCTCTCTCTCTCTCTGTGTTCTCTGCTTTCTAAGAACAAAGAAACACCGACAGAAATCCCCCCCTCCCCCATTTTTACGGACAGGTTTCCTTCGTGAAAAAAATTAATGCATTTTTTAAAAGGTTTGTCCTGGGTTTAAAGGGTTTAAGCGGGGGTGGGCGGGGAATGGGGGGGGGGATAGACAGAAGTGAGGTGGATGTTCATGTTGATTTTTTTGTGATTTTATTTTATTTATTTATTTATTATTTTTTAGATTGGTTTAATTATCCTCGGAGATTTCTATGGATTTGGTTACCGTGTGAAAATGTATATGAATGCATACACAAACACAAACAAATACATTTTCAACACATAAACACACAACATATATAAACACACAAAAGCAAACACAAACATATAAACACACACACACACACACTACTCCGTCCCCAGATACACATCACCGCCCCCCCCCCCCTCCCCACCCCCCCCCCTCACCCCATCACACACAAACACCTCATTGTCTCGCGTTCACAATTAATTCCGCAGATGACGTGAAAACACTCTAATCTCAGTTAATTTCCTGCGAATCAGAGACAGAATGAGTTTGCTTTTAGGGATTAATTTCGCTCTTATTATTCAATCTCAAGCCCAGAATCAACCGCAAGTCACTCCGAGGCCTGTCATGCACTCGATAACGCAACCCGGAACTTCTCGCTGTCTCGTGACCTAAGGGTGGTCTTAAATCCGCCTTACGTAAAAGAGTTTTTAATATATATATTTTTTATTATTGATGTGGCTCTTTACTTTTCGGTTCTCTCTATCTTCTGTTTGTTTGTCTCTTTGCCTCTCTCTCTCTCTCTCTCTCTCTCTCTCTCTCTCTCTCTCTCTCTCTCTCTCTCTCTCTCTCTCTCTCTCTCTCTCTCTCTCTCTCTCTCTCTCAGACCTGAATAATATGAATCTTATGAGAAGTTGACAGTGGAAAGACCATAATTTTACCTCTTTTTCTATCATGTATTAAAAAATAAAGTGAAAATAGAAATAAAGAAAATAAAAGAATGAAGATAGAATCTGCCGTGTGCATCTGACCACTTGCTTGTTAGAGCGAGTGAATGAGAGCGGAGAGCGCTCTACTTTCACTCTCGCTCTTTGACCACTTTTTATTCCGTGTTGCTTCCGTGCTTCATTCGCTCGCTTGGCAGCTTCTCTCTCTCTCTCTATCTCTCGTTCCTTCACTCGCTTACTTGCTTGTTCACTCACTTATTCACTTAAACCTTACGAACATACACTTCTCTCTCTTCTCTCTCTCTCTCTTCTCTCTCTCTCTCTCTCTCTCTCTCTCTCTCTCTCTCTCTCTCTCTCTCTCTCTCTCTCTCTCTCATTCAGTCGCTTTCACTCACGCACTCAACACTCAATCACTCACTCGTTCATTCACTCGTTCACACATTCTCACTCACACACGGCTGTTATTTATTGTATAGTTTTATTGCATTGATTTTATTGTGATGATAATGAAATGTCAGTTAAGAAAAGAATTGATGGTAAATTGAGATAATGATGATGATAGTGGTGATGGTGATGTTGATGGTGATGATGATAGATAAGATGATGATGATGATAGTTATGTTTACTCTTGAAGTCTGATTGAATTGGATTTCCCCAGAATACTAGGATAAAACAAGTTGTTGTAGAAATTGGTTGGCATATTTCATGTTTTGGAGGAGTTATTAAAGGCCTTATGCGCGTCTGCTTTTTGTTTATTTTTTTCATTATA